TTTATAACAAACTGAGCTGCCTATCGCAGAGTGGGGATTAGGACTCTCCATAGGCGGTGCTGTGCTTGTGCCTAGTCCTACTCCTGAAGTGGCGTTATAACCCTACGGTCAAGATCATGAAGGCTGTGTCCATCAATTAACTCAGAGAAATGGATTTTACATTAATTTCCTTATGATTTTTTTTTTTATATAAAACACTGTGACCAGAGTAATATAATGTTACCATAGTAACATTGCACTACTCTGGGGAAGTGATCAGTATTTTTTACATATTTTCAGATGACGTCCACCCGGATCGACGAGAGTCCCACTCAGCTATCATTTTACTATAGGCCCGGTGGGAACTGGTTAATCACCAAGCCTGATCATCTCATGGACATAGAAACACTGTCCTAAGATCTCTGCTGTAGTCTTCCCAGGAGTGGACACCTAGATGAGTTGTTACCTCAGCTGTCACCACCTGGAACAAGGGGAATGGGGCCTTCATCCAGACATCTTCAGCCTGATATGTCACAGATGGAGGACTCCAAATGTGGATATCCTGGCCTCCAGATTCAACAACATGTTACCTCTGTTTTTGGCCAGGACCAGGGATCCTCTAGCATTTGCATTGAACGCTCCCATATTTCTCTGGGCTCCGTTTCTTTAATTTATGCCTTTCCCCAGTGTGAATTCTGTCTTGACTGCTCTGCAAAATAGAGCAAGGGAAGGAACCAGTTATTCTCCCCAAACTGGCCCAGAAGAACCTGCTATGCAGATATACTCCTACCTCTGGAACAAACCCCTGGCCTCTATCCCGGGGACCCCTGTTCCATCCTGCTTCAATATCTGGTGTTAACCACTTGGCTGTTAATGCCCAGGTCTTGAAGGACAGAGTAGTCTCTAATGTTGTCATTCCCACATTGCAGAGCAAGAAAGGTCACTACCAAATCTAATATTATACCTGGTAAATTTCCTTGCCTGGATTGAACGCAGGCACTTCTACCCCAGAGGTTACTCCGTGCCTTGCATCATAGCCTTCCTAAAATCTGGACTTGAGCATAAGTACTCTTTGCTCATAACAGCCAGCGGGCCAGTGTTGCTGTTCATAGCCAACTGTACAAACTGATGCTGGTTGTGACCAGCAAACGGTAAGCAATTTTTTTTTTTTTTTTTTAATTTAACCAGTGGAAACATTCACAGATCGCCGCATCCACAAAAGCAATGTGGATGCAGAGATCTCCCCCTGTCAGAATGCACAGATCAGCGCTGCTGTCTGCATTGGCTGCGCACGCTGATGGAATGCTGGCTTTCCAACAAGACTGTTTGACAGAAGCTGGTCTAACAATCAGCCTCTGGTAAACAGAAAGGGATACACACACATCGAAATGTGCTTGATTTCTGCTAAACCAGCCAGATTTCAATACGTATATACATCCTGCTTAACAGTGGCTGCAGCTGTGCTTGTCACAGGAAGGGGAGGGCTGGCTGGTCATGGCAACTAGCATTTGCACTTTTGTTCACTGTGATTGGTCACGGCAATTACAAGGTACAGAACTGTTTCTTTGGCTCTGTATTTAAAGTCTGTGATGTCATTTATTAAGCAGATCCCAGGCATTCTTGACCGGTTTGAGAGCTCTGATCCTTCGCAGCAATCGCATAGTACAGAGCCAATTTCATTGCCTTTATACTTTCTTTCTGTGGTCTGCACTATCACAGAAGCAACCGCAGTTGCTGTGTTAAGGGGCACATGTAAGCACAGAGTAAAAAGTTGTTTAAAGATGACCACTTATTACAGTGAGTAGTAATACAACAGCCAGTTCTAAGGGGGGTTAAACACACCAAATTAAACATAAATATCCACTTACATAGGAAATGCTATCACCCAGCACAAAGGACAGAATGATTAATCCTGTGTTGGAATATCGCACCAGCATTTCCTAGTGTTGTGCCCATGTGTGGTCCCAAGCGTGTACGATGACAAGCCACATCCTACATGTTTTTGTCTCTAATGTCCTTTGTCAGGACAAAGTCAGTTGGAGATGAAATCCTTTGGGAGGAATTTAAGCACTGTGATAGGACAAGGTCTATTGAGGGAAAAATGCATAGGGTAGGGTTTGAGCATCTTTCCCAGATTTTAAATAATTGTGTACCTGTGCTTTTTCAATGGTTTATTATTAAAGGGGTCAAAACTAAAGATGAGTCTATTGCCTTCTGGAGTGTCTAGTGGATTGAATCTGGCACATCACTTTGCTCAGTTCAATTTGGGATACACCTCAATGAAAAAATTTGCACTTTTGCATTAACTTTTTTTTCTAGAGCACTTTGTTATTATCAAAAGACTTTATTTCTTTGATTACACACAGTTTTTTTTTAATACAGTTTTTTGCACAGTTAGATCGATTTATATTTATATGATTATGAAATGAACTGCTTTAAGTCCGCCCTATAGCAGGAATACGTGATTTGGTGCCTGACCGATCAGTCAACAGATTTAGGCCAGTGATGTTCGGCTTGGATCTGCTGATTGATCCCTGCCCTATCGGACATCATCATGTACCTGTGTTTACATTTACACAGGCACAGGAAATGATGCAATCTTCTCTCTCTGGGCACATTCTGTCCCAGAGAGAAGAAAGATCCACATGAGTAAAAGTACTGCACAGTTACAGTAAACACACATATAGATCACATTTAATCCCCATATCCCCCCCCCAGTTAACCCCTTCACTGCCCTGTCACCAGTGTCATTAGTACAGTGTACAGGTTTTTTTTTAGTATTAGTGTCACCGGCGACTTCAGGTAGCATTGGCATCAGCATTCCTCCCAGATAGCATCGCCAGTACACCAATCATCACATTTAACCCCTTGATTGCCAGGAGCACGCTCACATACACAATACACCTTCACTTTAACCACTTGCCGCCCTGCCACTGTAGAAATACGGCGGCAGGGCAGCACGGGCAGGCAAAACCACGTTTTAAAACGTGTGTTTTGTAAACAGATAGGAGGCGCGGCGCCGCCGCCCTATCTGTCCCGCCGATCACCGCCACGGATGTCAGTCGCCGGGTCACAGCCGGTCCTTACCGGCTGTTTCCCGGCGATCGGCGGCAAACAGTGACAGACAGCACACAGCTGCAGTAGCTGTGCTGTCTGTCACTTTCCTGACAGCTCGAGGACAAGCTGATCGAGAAAGAAGAGTTTCTCTCGATCATCGGTGTCCCGTGCAGCACACACCCCCCGCCCCTAGTAAAACACTCCCCCTCACACAGATAACCCTTCCCTGCAAAATAAAGTTAACCCCTTCCTCCCCAGTGCCATTAGTACAGTGTCAGTGGTTTTTGTTTTTTTTTTTTTGCACTGATCACTGTATTAGTGTTTTTGGGGATGTCAGTGACCCCAAGTCAGTACCCCCCAATGTCAGAATGTCCGCCACAGTCCCGCCATAAGTCACTGGTTGCTGCCATAAGTCACTGATCGCCGCCATAATTCGCTGATCGCCGCCATTATTAGTATAAAAAAAAAAAAAACCTAAAAATCCCAGTATCTTTCCCGCCATTTGTAAACGCTATAACTTTCACGTAAACCAATTAATTTACACGTATTGTTTTTTTTTTTTTAGCAAAGACATGTCGCAGAATGCATTTTGGCAGAAATTTATGACTAAATTTGATTTTTGCATTTTTTTTTTACTGGACATGTTTTATAGCAAAAAGTCCAAAATATTGTTTTTTTTTTCCTCAAAATTGTCAGCCTTTTTTTTTTTTTTATAACGCAAAAAATAAAAACCGCACAGGCAATCAAATACCACCAAAAGAAAGCTCAATTTGTGGGGGAAAAAAGGATGTAAATTTCATTTATGTACCGTATTGCATGACCGCGCAATTATCCGTTAAACTAGCGAAGAGCTGTATAGCAGAAAAATGGCGTAAATTGCAGTATTTATACCATAGTTTGTAGACGCTATAACTTCCACACAAAGCAATCAATATACACTCATTGGGATTTTTTTTTACCAAAAACATGTAGCAGAATACATTTTGGCCTAAATTTATAACCAACTTTGAGTTTACTATATATTTTTTATAGCTGAAAGTAAAAAATATTGTTTTTCTTCAAAATGTTTGGCCTTTTTTTGTTTATAGCGTGAAAAATTAAAAGTGCACAGATGATCAAATACCACTGAAAGAAAGCTCTATTTGTGTGAAAAAAAGGACGTAAATTTCGTTTGGGTGCAGCATTGCATGACCGCGCAATTATCAGTTAAATTAGTGCAGCGCCGAGTAGCAAAAAGAGGCCTGGTCATTAAGGGGGGTAAATCCTCTGGAGCTCAAGTGGTTAAATGTCCCCACATAGAACAAAGATTTTTCTTCAAGCACTTGGGATTTTTTAAGCCATTGCATATTAACCCCTTCACGCCGGTGCATCCCAGCCCTTTAAGAGTTTCAGAAGCCAGGAGTCGTGGCTGGGTTTAGGGTCATATGACGCGTTGTCACGGCTGTCACATGATCGGGAAAGGTCCCGACTGAAAGAGGAGATCGGCACCTTTCCGTGAGTACCGGACTCCGCGCAGGGCACATTCTCTAGGCACATATGTCCTTTTTTAATAGAACGCAAATGTGCAGCCGCTCGGCATCTAGGTCCAGACGCCGTGAGGCCGCACATTTGCGTTCGGCCAGCGTGAAGAGGTTAAACCATACAAAAAGAATGACATGTTCACATCTTGAAATGTGCACAAACATTCCTGATTTCAAATGACTGCATGGAAAATGTTCACATTAAAACTTTTGAATAATGCCTTGGCATTGATCATGGCTTTGTCTACCCCAATGTTCTTTGCGAATTATCAAAAAGCCTGTAGCCCTCCTAGTTTGACAATTTAAGCAAAAGCTGGAATGGGGCTATATCACACCACAGAGCAATAAAATAATGGGAACTGGCTTTAGGTATAACATAACTTTTAAACAGCTTTGGGGTTACTCACACTAACCTACCTGAAAGTGATTTTTTTTTCTTTCTAGTTTTTGGAATGCTTTTAGGAGATACAATACTCTTGGATAATCTAGAAGCTGCTAATGAATACAGAAAACAGGTGAGCACCTTTGTCTTTAGCACGTATAAATTGAGAATGTTCCCATTTCAAGGTTTGAGGATATGCCAAGAGACATTTGGCAAGATGAGAATAGTATCAACATGCTGGGGTTTGGTCATACTTAAATGTATGTTTTTAAATATTGAAAAAATATGTATACACATACATACAGTCATGGCCAAAAATATTGACACCCCTGCATTTGTCAGATAATGCACCACTTCACCCAGAAAATTGTTGCAATTACAAATGTTTAGGCATTCTCATGTTTATTTCTTTTATTTGTATTGGCATGACACAAAAAAAGTGGAGAAACAAAAGGCCAAATCTGACACATTCCAAGCAAAACCTCCAAAAAAGACTGGACAAAATTATTGGCACCTTCAGCTTAATATTTGGTAGCACACCCGTTGGAAAAAATAACTAAAATAAATCACTCCCTGTAACCATCAATGCGTTTCTTACACCTTTCTACTTGAATTTTGAACCACTTTTCTTTCGCCAGCTGCTCCAGGTCTCTCAGATTGGAAGGGTTCCTTTTTCCAACTGCTGTTGTGAGATCTCTCCACAGGTGCTTTATTGGATTAAGATTTGGACTCATTGCTGGCCAGTTCAGTACTCTCCAGCGCTTTGTCTTAAACCATTTCTGGGTGCTTTGTGACGTGTGCTTTAGGTCATTGTCCTGATGTAAAACCACTGATATCTGGCAGAGACCCAACTTTCTGACACTGGGCCCTACATTGCACACCAGAAGTCTTTGGTAGTCAGACTTTATAATGCCATGCACATAGTTAAGACATCTAGAGCCTGAAGCAGCAAAGCAACCCCAAAACATCAGTGAATCTCCACTATGACTGTAGGAACTGTATTCTTTTCTTTAAAGGTCTCATTGCTCTTTCTGAAAACAGAATGATTGTCTTTACCAAAAAGCTGTGATTGTTCACACATTCTCCCAAAGGGATTTTGGCTTCCTCAGGTAAGTTTTTGCACACTCCAATCTGGCTGTTTTATTTCTATGTCAGCAGTGGAGTCCTCCTGGGTCTCCTGTTATATCACCACTTTTCATTCAGATGGTGATGTATAATGTGAGCTGACACAGTTGTACCCTGTGCCTGAAGGTCAGCTTGAGTTTGTCTGGAAGTTGATCGAGGTTCTTTAGCCACTATTCAAACAATCCTTCATTGCAATCTTTGTTCAGTTTTTCTCTTTTGTCCTCATTCAGAGCAATTACCTACAGTGCCATGGGCTATAAACTTCTTGACAATGTTGCGCACCATGGACACAGGAACATTAAGATCTCTGCAGATGGACTTGTAATCTTGAGATTGTCCATGCTTTTCCACAATTTTTGTTCTCAAATCCTCAGACAATTCTTTGCTGCTCTTTCTCTTCTCCATGCTCCATGTGGCACACAGACAAACAGAAAGGTTGAGTCCGTTTTTTCACCATTTTAATTGGTTGCTGGTGTGATTTCTATGTTGTCAGTACTTTTTAATTGATACAGGTGAGTTGAATTACAAATTACAGGAGCATCAGAAACCTGGAATGCAATTATTTCTTACAATTTTGAAAAGGTGCCAATAATTTTATCCATTCCATTTTCGGGGGTTTTACATGGAATGTGTCAGATTTGCCTTATTTGTTTTTCCGCTTTTTTGTGTCATAACAATACAAACAAAAGAAATAAACATGCGAATGCCTAAGCATTTGTAATTGCAACAATTTTTTGGGCAACGTGGTGCATTACCCGACAGAAATACAGGCGGTGCCAATATTTTTGGCCATGATATATATATATCTATATAGATATGGATATATATATCTATCTATATACACATGTATACACATACATTCTAGATTTTATTGTCAAAGCTTAAAGCAGACCTTCCCTCTCTGTCAACATTGACTATTTTTAATCCTAATGCAGCTAGCATTATTAAATAAACAGGAAGGTATATTATATTTACTTGTTTTAAACTTTTTTTTTACATTTCTTCGGTTACTTTCTGGTTTCTATGCCTAGGCAATGATGTCATGCATCCCAGGAGGGGAGGAGGGGTGTTCTTAGGTAAGCACACCCTCCTGCCTGCATGCCTGAGCTAGAGTCAAATGGATTTCAAGAAGTAAATGCTACATGAATCATCTGCCCTTCTCAAAATGGCCACGGCCAGAAATGCTAAGGGGTGTTTTTCAAAGTCATTTCTTAACTAAATAAAGCATGGAGACATCGATGAGTGGGTGTGTTTGCTTTGAATGTTAAAAGTGAATTAAATAGGTTTTTGGTTTGTGGTGCTCAGATGCAGTGTAGTTCCGCTTTAACTGAACATGCTGAAGTTATAAGCTGACTGGTTAGATGCACAGCTGCACCAGATTTTGTAAGCACCAGTTGTAATGAATCTCCCTAATGGGTTGAAAGTATATCTCTAGGTACAGCATTGCACTGTGGGCACACTCTATTCCGAGAGCCAACACCATTCACGAGGGCCAACACTCACCCTGGTCACCAGCTGGTCTGGCCAGGGGCATATGGCTTCCCGCCCGACCCAGTCTACCGCTTAAACATCTTCCAGTACCTTTTCCTCTCCCCATCCTTTCGTCCTTTCCATCACAGCATCCTTACTCTCTCATGACCACCCTATTCTTATCTTCCACTATCCCCCATCCAAAACATTTGAAACATGTCAAACAACATTTTCCTTCATTGTTAGAGGCCTCAACATCCTTGATCCTGACCTAAACGGACCTTCACAAATGAAAATGCCCAAGTAGACATTCTCTAGAAAGCAAACTTTACTCAAGGCAAAGCCCCCTCCTTATGAGACACACTACCCCATGTAATTTCATTCTTATACCTCAGTTACGAGAAAAATAGGGGGGATAATTAACCTTTTTGTACACATGGTCCCTTGGACTGTACACTAAGATAGTGGAGGCCGATATAATGTACATTCCTAATCATAACCAAATTTAATTCCCGGAATCTACATTGGAAACAATAGCAATTTCTCCGAAGGAATTACAGTTGTAGGTGCTGACTTCAACCTGTTCTTAGATTCTTAAACCTCCCACTTTTCTGGCCCAGCTTGCAAATGTATTAAACTGATTCTATATTTCCACCAATTTGCAGATGTCTGGCAAAATCACCATCCTGCCAACAGGAACTACTCTTACCACTCTGCAGTCCATGGTTAATACTCCCATATTGACAAGATCCTAATAAATCATTGGCATTCGCAACTGGCCACCCACTGATAGGTTCCTGGTCAGAGAGGATTATGTTGCCTGTCACCTTTAACCCTGGTTCACACTGATGCGGTGTGCAGCATTTTCTGTGCGAATTCCGCACCGCATCAGAATCACACCCCGTTCATGCTAACCGCTGCAGGTGTGTATGTTAAGTTAGCAACACCCCGAAGCGGTCCGCAAAACGCAGTACTATGTGCAGAATCGGATCACATAGGTGTGAATACCCATGCGATCCGATTCTAGTGCAGACCCAAAAAATGGTCCTGCACCTTTTTGGTGCGGATGCGGTGCAATTAGAGCTATACAAAATGTATGTAATCGCATGTGATTTGCGCAGGAATGCGGTGCAATTCCTGTGCGAAGCATATGCGATATACTGCACTGCAAATATGTGAACCCAGGCTAATGGAGATGTATGATAAAAAAGTAAACATACTTACCTCTATGCTATATGCGGCAGCGGTCTTTCATAAGCTCTAAGCTTGAGAACTGAGTGATCACATGTCCACAAATAATGCACTTGGACCGTGTGGGTTCATGCTGACATGGGATGCAAAAGATTAAACCAACCAGGTGATAAATATTATCCATTTGGCCTTGTCAAAGAGAGAACAATTGTTAATACTCAAAATTAAAAACCAAAACACTCAGTGCTAATACAGTAAACACAAAAACCTATCCACAATGTATTAAATGTGTTGTGTTATAAACCACAACTCTGCATAAAATAAAATGTAAACGGAAAGCTGCCAAACTAAATACCCACATACAGATATTAATAATAACCTAAAACCATACATGTAAAGCGCTATCCCCAATGTTCACAAACATAGGTAATATCCCTTTAAATATACAATACACCACATGCAATTTATGTTTGAAATAAAGTCCCCCCCCCAAAAAATTTCCTTTTTATATTCAAAGTGATATAAAGTCCACAGAAGTGCTTCTAAAAACAAAAGATCCAAATTCTTTTGTGCCAGGATGCAAGCAAACCAGTCCAGCAACCACCACCACCAGAAAACTCCTTACCCTGTAATATGACCCCTATACCACAAGGAGGTCACAGAACTCTTGGTATACCACCATTCCACGCTCCGTCCTGCTCCAAACCCGCTCAGATGTCTTTCCCAGGATCTCATGGGCAATTTACAGGACACACATGGATGGTTTCCAGGGCATAAAGTTCATGTACAAAATCAACAAACATTAAACAATACTTGCAATAAACAAACAGTGTTATCGGCATCAGTAACCAGCGTGAATGCGTGAAAATATGTCTTCAGAGGAAATGGAAGCATTTTTCCCCCCAAAAAATTATTTGTAACGAAACGCCACATTGGATGGGTGGGGCATAGTGTCTGATGTCATTGTGTTTTCACGCATTATTTAGCTGCTTCCCGACCGCCCTATAGCAGAAATACTGCTACAGGGCGGCATGGGTGTGCAAAATCACGTATATTTACGTGATTCGTGCTCCCGCGATTGTTGCGGGCTGACCTGCTGGTGGCGTAATTTGATCCCCAAGGGATCAATCATCGATTTAGACTGCCCCCCCAGTTAACCCCTTCACTGCCCTGTCACCAGTGTCTTTTGTACAGTGTACAGATTTATTTGCTGCTGATCATTGTATTAATGTTGCTGGTGACTTCAGATAGCGTTAGCATCAGTTAGTGTCCCTGCCAGATAGCGCTGATTGCCAGGAACACGCTCACATACACAATAAACCTCCATTGCTAGTATAGTGTCTGAAAGGATCAATATCTTTGATCAGATCAATACTATACCAGCGTTCACATTAGTGGAGTGTCTCCAAAAATGCAGCGTTATCGGAACCAGCCCTGGAACTTGCCAGCACCTGCGTTTAGCCCCTATGCTTAACCACCACCCCCCCCCCCCCCCCCAAGTGCAGTGTCAGTGGGTCACTGTCACTTGATACATTGCACACAAAACCGTAGGCCTGATCTCTGTTAGCACTTGCCGGTAAATATTTTTGTAGCGGTTCAAGCAGTCCCTGACAGCCAAGTGCTCTTTTTCCCAGTGAGTCACACTAGGTACCTATAATATTAATATAAAAAGGACACTTGTTTATTTCTAATATAAATTGCATGTGGTGTATTGTAGATTTAAAGGGACATTACCTATTGGTTTGTTGTTTGTGAACATTAAGGATAGCGCTTTACATGTATGGTTTTAAATTAATACTCACCACTGATGCCGAGAAGGACTTCCAGCAGGGTCAACTGGACCTTCTATCACCTTGGAAGACCATATGCAGACCTGGGTAAGTTCGCTTCGCACTTCTTTCACAGCACAGGTTAGGATCAGGGTGGCATGCGACAGGGTTGCCCACTCTCATCACTGATTTTTATCCTGACAATGGAACCCTTCCTATGCCCCATACGAGCCAACCTGAACATCTCAGGGATACAAGTCAGGAATCCTGTTCATAATGTTTCTGCTTGTGCAAATGACCTTCTTTTCTTCTTCAGTAACCCAGAGATCACTCTGTCTAACCTGATCACAGATTTCACATTAATTAGCAGAAATCAGAAGCCTTAGACCTGATCTTCCCACACCATACGCAACTCATTGCATTCCATATTTGCATTCAAATGGGCCTCTACCAAATCAGATATCTCAGAATCCAGTTTCGTTGGCCCCATTCTACCTATGTTTCGTGCTGAATTTTCAACTTCGCCTACTTCAGATTTCTGCGTTCACTCATAAACAACTTTGGTCTTTTAAACAAGCACACTTGAAACAAACCATTCCACGCAGACTGAAAAAGTTAGGAGGCATGGAACTCCCAGTCATCAGACTATATTACATTGCTACCGATTAACCAGGGTCCTAGGCTGGTGCAGACACAATATGATCAAGCAGTAGGTGACACTTGAACAAGACACATCTCTTACCCCTTTGCAAGTAATTGGTCACCAGCAATTCCCATGCAAGACCTAATGAATCATCTTCCCTGTTCCCTTCCCTCTTCTTCCCTATCTTGGAGAATCCTAATTTACCCCCTGGCAATATGACAAGGCATATATTCCCACTCCGCCAGAGAAATAAGTGGTGTGTTAGACACTTTTTAAAACATTCATCCTGGCTGTCCTCCACCCAGATATCCTCTTGCTAGGACCTCATCAAATACTACAGGTCACCCGCTTTTTACCATCCCTACCAGTGTCAACAGAGTTTTCATTTCCCCTAACCCAATTCAAAGTGGAAAACAGGCATCTGAACCATTTTGGCATTCACTCTTTCTGTCACCAAATCCTCACAAACTCCCCCATGCTTTCTGAAGCAATGGAGAAGAATCCTAACATTACTCTATCATCTGTGGAGCAATCTAACATACTAGCTCTGTCCTATAAATCCTTCATAAGTAATAATTACTAGAAAATAAATACTAAATTCGGATACAAAAAATTAATCTGCTGGTACTATACTCAACATTACTTTATAAATTTCCACATTTTGTCATGTTACAACCAAAAACGTAAATGTATTTTATTGGGATTTTATGTGATAGACAAACACAAAGTGGCACATAATTGTGAAGTGGAAGGAAAGTGAAAAATGGTTTTCAACATTTTTTTTAAATAAATATCTGAAAAGTGTGGCATGCATTTGTATTCAGCCCCCCGAGTCAATACTTTGTAGAACCACCTTTTGCTGCAATTACAGCTGCAAGTCTTTTGGGGATATGTGTCTACCAGCTTTGCACATCGAGAGTGAAATTTTTTTGCCCATTCTTCTTTGCAAAATAGCTCAAGCTCTGTCAGATTGGATGGAGAGTATCTGTGAATAGCAATTTTCAAGTGTCTTGCCACAGATTGTAAATTGGATTCAGGTCTGGACTTGGACTGGGCCATTCTAACACATAAATATGCTTTGATCTAAACCCTTTTATTGTAGCTCTGGCTGTATTTTTAGGGTCATTGTCCTGCTGGAAGGTGAACCTCCGCCCCAGTCTCAAATGTATTGCAGACTCTTAACAGGTTTTCTTCTAAGATTGCCCTGTATTTGGCTCCATCCATCTTTCCATCAACTCTGACCAGCCTTCCTGTCCCTGCTGAAGAAAAGCATCCCCACAACATGATGTTGCCACCACCATGTTTCATGGTGGGGATGGTGTGTTCAGGGTGATGTGTAGTGTTAGTTTTCCGCCACACATAGCGTTTTGCTTTTAGGCCAAAAAGTTCAATTTTGGTCTCATCTGACCAGAGTACCTTCTTCCTCGTGTTTGCTGTGTCCCCTACATGGCTTCTCACAAACTGCAATGGCTTTCTTCTTGCCACTCTTTGATGAAGGCCAGATTTGTGGAGTGCACGACTAATAGTTATCCTGTGGACAAATTCTCCCACCTGAGCTGTGGATCTCTGTAGCTCCTCCAGAGCTACCATGGGCCTCTTGAATGCTCTCTTTGCCCGGCCTCTCTGTATAGGTGGATGGCCATGTCTTGGTAGGTTTTCAGTTGTGCCATACTCTTTCCATTTTCGGATGATGGATTGAACAGTGCTCCGTGAGATGTTCAAAGCTTGGGATTTTATTTATAACCTAGTCCTGCTTTAAGCTTCTCCACAACTTTATCCCTGACCTGTCTGGTGTGTTCCTAGGCCTTCATGATGCTGTTCACTAATGTTCTCTAACAAACTTCTGAGGGCTTCACAGAACAGCTGTATTTATACTGAGATTAAATTACACACAGGTGGACTCTATTTACTAATTAGGTGAATTCTGAAGGCGGTTGGTTCCACTAGATTTTAGTTAGGGGTATCAGAGTAAAAGGGGCTGAATACAAATGCATGCCACGGTTTTCAGATACTTATTTGTAAAACATTTTGAAAACCATTTAATATTTTCATTCCACTTCACAATTATGTGCCACTTTGTGTTGGTCTACCACATAAAATCCCAGTAAATAACATTTGCGTTTTTGGTTGTAACATGTACCAAAATCTGGAAAATTTCAAGGGGTATGAATACTTTTTTAAGGCTCTGTAAAATTCCATAGCCCTTCATTGGATATGGCCAAGCATTTGGTGAAAAAATGCTGTCATCCATTGCAAATGGAATAAAAATCCTATTTAGCGTGCAGGGGGTGCCAGAGAGTTCAGGAGGCCTGCGGTTTCATCCTGTGGTTGCATTAGAAATTTGGCCAGGCAAAGATGGCAACACCTACAGAGATGTGGGTAGGATTATCTCTGCTGGAAAAAATGCTGGGACTAGTTCTGAGACAGTCCACTGTGAAGTAGGAATGACCCCAGTTGAGATTCCCACAGAGTCTTCTCTTAAGAGAGACTTGCTTTGGTGCAGTTCCCAGTACAATGCGGAAGCAATTGTTGAAACCAAACCTAACAATTCCATGTTATCTACTGAAAATAAAAGTGTTGACAGAAAGTTTATTGCTGCTGCTGGGAAAACTCCTGTGTCTTGCAATTCAAATGCTGTAGTAAAAGATATGTTGTCTCCTATTGGAACAGTGTCTAGAGCAGTAGAGACATCAGTGTGTTGGAACCCAAGGTTACACAGGACAACTGTGATGCTGCCCTGATGGGACAGTGTGGATCTGTGCCTTATAATAGGAGTATGTTGTGCAGTCTGTTAAGTTTGTTAATGCAAATTTTTCTGTGAAGTGTGAATCGCCACCAGAGCAAGGTGGTGAAATTGGGAGATTGCACCCTGTTTTGGTTAAGACTGCATTATCACAGGTAGCTATGATTAAAAGTGATGTGTGTAATGCGTATGCTGCAAAGTCAGTCTATTCTTCTGTGACACCTTGGGCAGATGGATCGGTGCTGCAGAGCACCTGTGATTGGAATGCAGATGGAACATATTGAGAAATGATAAATTAGAACAGTTGGACAGAAAGTCTGTTATCTAGCCTTAACAAGGCTTCTTTGTATAACTGTGGGGTAGACATTATTTCTGCTGTGCCAGAAGGAGCATCTGCAGAAGAGCCTATAGCCAAGGGCACATTGGCTGCTGCAGAGGTTAAGCCTCTCAAGATGGAAGGACTTTGTGAGGGCAAATGCACAGCAGGACTTTTGTTTGCAACCCATCAAAGGGTTAATGATGTGGAGGGTCAAGTTGACAGTGTCATTGATCAAGACCTGTAGCAGCTCACTAATGCTAAACCTGAGAGGTTGAGAGTCACGCACCTGGCAGGACTCTAGGAGAGCAGCAGGCTGTTGTGTCAGCAACCTCCATCTGGAAGAAGGTCCCTTTTAAGAAAAGTTACAATCTCTCAGGTCTCAGCAGATGAGTCCCTCCAGGTTCTTAAGATAAGTATCCACATGGAGTCAGTGTATCTGTTTGTGACAGATGGGTAAAAAGAAAAACTTGAAGTCTGGGATGTACAGCCAATAAATATCACAGATGGATGGGCTGCTACTGCGTGGCACTATTGGATGGAACAAGGTATTTACAAGTTAAACTGAAAAGAGGTGGACAAGATAAGAATGGTTTGTTACAAAATGTATTAATGATGTTAAAAGTTGTCTCTCAGCGCACGGCCGGGTTGCTTTCTGGTAAACTGGTATATGGAAGATGCTTTGATCAACTACTAGACAAATCGAAGGTGTTGGAGGTTTCTCCAAACGATAACCTGATGGGAAACATTTTTACTGCTGCAGTCCGAGGTGTGACTGGTCAGTTGGTGAAGGGCACACATGCTGGATCAGTAGAAAAGCCTTGCAGGATAGAAGGGCCAAGAATGGACGCTACGGTGTCAGAAAATCCTGTCCCTAACCCAGAAAGAGGTACTGGTTAACCGCCTTAGCGGTTTTCCCGAGTGTAGCTCGGGGTAAAATTTCAATACCAAAAGCGGTAACCCCGAGCTACACTCGGGCTTACCATGCGGCGTTGCTCAGGGAGTCCCTGCAGCACTTACCTTGTCCTTCGCTCCCGCAATGTGTCCCCTGCAGCGTCCCTGGCCATCTCCTCCGGCTGATGCCGGGATCCGGCTTCTGTGTTCCGGACCCTGTGACGTCGGGACGTACGGCGGGAAATTTGAAATTTTTTAAAAAAATTTCATTTTTGCTGTCATTGCTGTTTCAATGCATTTCACATATATGTTGTCCCTACTGCTTTGTCCTGTGCCCTGCCTGCATTTTGACTGTTCTATTCTGCCTGGAAACTTAGAAAAGTCCATGGCATCCAAAAAGCATCCCTTTACGTCAAAAGCGGTTTTAGAACAGCGATAGTAAATCTGAACCACTTGCAGAATTGAGTGATAATGATTCGTGGGGAAATTCGTCATCAGACACTGAAAACGATTTTGGGACTTTGCTCAGCGATGTGCGAATTTGCCTCTGTATTTCAAATTTCAGTGTTTTTGGTTTGACTATATTATTGAATTAAATTTATTATTATATTATTATTTTTTATGATTATTTATTAAATTATAATTTATGATTTTGTGTTTCAAGTTTTATCATATCCGGAATGTTTACTAGACTCTTGTTCGTACAGATTTGAGTGAGTTATTCCTAAAAATTACATCCTACAATAAAAAACTACATATTTACATGCAAAAAAATGGTACCGCTTTCAGCACAAAAAATCGGAAAGAATCATACCGCCGAGGAGGTTAAAGGACTAAATTATCCTAGTGTGGTATGTGGAAAATGGGTCAGACAAGGTTTCATCTCTTCAGCATTTGAATAGAGATGCAGATTTCTTTGAAAAATATCAGATGCTAGGGCGGTTGCCTGCTGAGTGTTGCTTAACAAGCAAGATGAAACTTTTCCCATGGGGAATAGCCACTCGTCTGTGTGTGGTCCCTCTTTGGACACTGCGCAAAGAAATGCTGCAAATCCAGAGGAAGTGGAATATAAATACAATTATTTAAACAAACTTCATCTACCATTTGATTAATGATAAACTGGTGCCTGTAGATGAATTCTGGGGTAAAATCTTTCAGTGCTCACTTTTACAGTCTGAAGAGGTACTGGTGTTTGACTTTGACAATAAACAGAGTTCTAATACTTGCATGAATAGGACTATCAGGAATAAACAGAGTGAGGTGTTGCAGATCTCCGAGGATTTGGCTGCTAAGAGTATCCATGAAGGGGTTAGTAACCCTGAAAGTCAGACTGTAGTGATCAAAGCTGATAAAGGTAATAAGATGGATGGAACCATAACCGACACAATAAAAGTAGGCCCCCTGCAACCCCAAGACAGTAATTCTGGGTTGTCAGGAAACCCAGGAACCCAAGGCAAGTGGACAAAGTTGGTAAAGAGACCAGTGGATCCCTGTTAAAATTTTGGAAGAAGTGCTTGTGGAAGCATACCAGGAAAAAGGATTGGACCCATCTGGCTGACAGCTGGCACAGAGGTTTTCCAATCAAGAGTACAGGCTCATATGTTTCTCCTTCCAGTTCAAAACAATGGTGGGGTATGTGACAGATTGAGGACCTGCCACTGTATCAAGATAATTGAAAACAACACAAGGTTCTAACGAACTCAGAGTGAGGGGCTCCAAAGATTAAGTTCAGAGCAAAGAAAACTATGCTTTTAGTTCTCTCTGGGATTTGAAATTCCCAGATCAGTGTCTGGAGTGCAGAAGTTTCAAGGGTGGGATGAAGCCTCCACCCATGTCCATGTGTGCACACCCGCTATAATCAAGGGCCCTGCCTGTAGTTGTGGCTCACCCTTCCCCAGGAGTCTGAAGCTGCAAGGGAGTAGTAGGCATGTGTGAACACACTAACGATGTTGCATAGTCTGGCTAAAAAAAGACAAAAGTCCATCCAGTTCAACCATAGAAAAAAAAAAAGTTATAATCCTATACCCACAGTTGATCCAGAGGAAGGCAAAAAAAACCCAGCAAAGCACAATCCAATTTGCTCCTGCTGGGAAAAAAATTAATTCCTGATCCCCCGAGAGGCAATCGGATATTCCCTGAATCAACTTTACCTATAAATATTAGTATACAGTTATATTCTTTGTATCCAAGAAACAATCCAGGCCTTTTTTGAAGCAATCCACCGAGCTGGCCAGAACCAACTCTTGAGGGAGTCTACTCCACATTTTCACAGCTCTTACTGTGAAGAAACCTTTCCGTGTTTGGAGATTACATTTCTTTTCCTCCAGACGTAAAGAGTGCCCCCTTGTCCTCTGTGATGACCTCAGAGTGAATAGCTCTACACAGAGTTCACTATATGAACCACTGATGTATTTATACATGCTGATCATATCCCCTCTTAATCTCCTCTTCTCAAGAGAGAATAAATTCAGTTCCTCTAATCTTTCCTCATAGCTGAGCTCCTCCATGCCGTTTATCCATTTAGTTGCTCTTTTCTGTACTTTGTCAAGTTCCCCAATGTTCTTTTTGTGAATTGGTGTCCAAAACTGAACTGCATATTCCAGATGAGGTATTACTAATGATTTGTACAGGGGTAATATGATATCTCTCTCTCTCTGGAGACTATACCTCTTTTAATACAAGAGAGGATTTTGCTCGCTTTAGAAACCGCAGTTTGGCGTTGCATGCTATTATTAAGCTTGTGATCTACCAGAACTCCCACATCCTTCTCCACTATTGATTCCCCTAGTTGTACTCCCCCTAGTATGTATGATGCATGCATATTCTTAGCCCCCAAGTGCATAACCTTACATTTATCAACATTAAACCTCCTTTGCCACACAGTTGACAATTAAACAGTGCATTGAGGTCGGCTTGTAAGTTGAAGACATCCTGTAAGGACGTTATTCAACTGCACAGCTTGGTGTCATCTGCAAAGACTAAAATGGCATTTTTAATCTCAGACCCTATATCTTTTATAAATATATTATAAAGTAAGGGTCTACACCACTGATGACCCCAGACCATTCAGAGTATGAATCATTAACCACTACTCTTTGAATACAATATTTTAGCCAGTTTTCTATCCATTTACATACAGATTTTTCCAAGCCCATAGACTTTACCTTACACATTAGCCCTGTGTGGGGAACTATGTCAAACGCTTTTGCAAAATCCAAGTATACCACGTCCACCACCACCCCTCTGTCCAAGGTTTTGCTCACCCCATCATAAAAAGAAATCAGATTTGTTTGACAACTGCTGTCTTTCATGAATCCATGTTGTCAGTTGTTTAAAATATTTTTTCCAGCAAGAACTTATCTATGTGGTCTTTTTTTAAACTCTCCAGTATCTTCCCAACAGGTTTATAATTACTTGGTAAAGATTTTGACCCCTTTTTAAATATTGGTACCACATTGGCCTTACGCCAATCCAGTGGTACTATGCCAGTCATTAAAGAGTCCCTAAAAATTAGAAACAATGGCTTTGAAATGACAGAGCTCAATTATTTAAGGACCCGTGGGTGTATGCCATCTGGTCCAGGTGCTTTAGTCACCTTTAAACTGTCTAAATATTTTTGGATCATATCAATTGTGAGCCAGTGTGGATAATCTGGGGCTGTGTTAATACCATGCCCATTATAGACAAGAGCTCCCCCATGCTCCTTTTTATACACAGAGCTGAAGAAGGTGTACAGTGGGGCAAAAAAGTATTTAGTCAGCCACCAATTGTGCAAGTTCTCCCACCTAAAAAGATGAGAGAGGCCTGTAATTGGCATCATAGGTAGACCTCAACTATGAGAGACAAAATGAGAAAAACAAATCCAGACAATCACATTGGCTAATTTGGAAAGAATTTATTTGCAAATTATGGTGGAAAATAAGTATTTGGTCACCTACAAACAAGCAAGATTTCTGGCTCTCACAGACCTGTACCTTCTTCTTTAAGAGGCTCCTCTGTCCTGCACTCATTACCTGTATCAATGGCACCTGTTTGAACTTGTTATCAGTATAAAAGACATCTGTCCACACCTCAAACAGTCACGCTCCAAACACCACTATGGTGAAGACCAAAGAGCTGTCGAAGGACACCAAAAACAAAATTGTAGACCTGCACCAGGGTGGGAAGACTGAATCTGCAATAGGCAAGCAGTTTGGTGTGAACAAATCAACTGTGGGAGCAATAATTAGAAAATGGAAGACATACAAGACCACTGATAATCTCCCTCGATCTGGGGCTCCACGCAAGATCTCACCCCGTGGGGTCAAAATGATCACAAAAACGGTGAGCAAAAATCCCAGGACCACACGGGGGGACCTAGTGAATGACCTGCTGAGAGCTGGGACCAACGTAACAAAGACTACCATCAGTAACACACTATGCCGCCAGGGACTCAGATCCTGCAGTGCCAGACGTGTCCCCCTGCTTAAGCCAGTACATGTCTGGGCCCGTCTGAAGTTTGCTAGAGAGCATTTGGATGATCCAGAAGAGGATTGAGAGAATGTCATATGGTCAGATGAAACCAAAATAGAACTGTTTGGTAGAAACACAACTCATCGTGTTTGGAGGAGAGAGAATGCTGAGTTGCATCCAAAGAACACCATACCTACTGTGAAGCATGGGGGTGGCAACATCATGCTTTGGGGCTGTTTCTCCGCAAAGGGACCAGGACGACTGATCCATGTACAGGACAGAATGAATGGGGCCATGTATCGTGAGATTTTGAGTGCAAACCTCCTTCCATCAGCAAGGGCATTGAAGATGAAACGTTGCTGGGTCTTCCAACATGACAATGATCCCAAACATACCGCCCGGGCAAGGAAGGAGTGGCTTCGTAAGAAGCATTTCAAGGTCCTGGAGTGGCCCAGCCAGTCTCCAGATCTCAACCCCATAGAAAACCTTTGGGGGGAGTTGAAAGTCCGTGTTGCCCAGCGACAGCCCCAAAACATCACTGCTCTAGAGGAGATCTGCATGGAGGAATGGGTCAACATACCAGCAACAGTGTGTGCCAACCTTGTGAAGACTTACAGGAAACATTTGACCTCTGTCATTGCCAACAAAGGATATATAACAAAGTATTGAGATGAACTTTTGATATTGACCAAATACTTATTTTCCACCATAATTTGCAAATAAATTATTTCCAAATCAGCCAATGTGATTATCTGGATATTTTGTTTCTCATAGTTGAGGTCTACCTATGATGCCAATTACAGGCCTCTCTCATCTTTTTAGGTGGGAGAACTTGCACAATTGGTGGCTGACTAAATACTTTTTTGCCCCACTGTATGTCTGGACTGAGAGACTTCATACTACGCCAAGAGCCAGGATTTTGCTTTTCTTTTTCTTTTTTTTCTTTTTTCCTGTATAAAGCTGAAGCACTGTTTGAGAATCCTGATGTAAGGAACTTTACTTTCTTTTCAGGAAATGTAAGCCAACCAGCCCTGAAACAGCACTTCTGCCATGAACTGAACTCACTGGGACTCATTACATTTGAGCAATTAACCCAAAGTGCTAACTGTGTGGGACAAGCTCACTCAGTCTATGGATAAGCTCATGCACATCTGTCCTAAGAGAGATATCTTTGACATAGTGGTTGACCATCCTTGCACTAGAACCGATGACGTTTTCTCCTGTTGATTTAGATGTTTCTCACAATGGATGGCAGCCTGAGGGGCTGGGGATGTATCCTATGGACGAAAATGGTCCAATTGATGTGATCGTCAGTGGAGTCCAGACTTCACTTCAACATTGTCGAACTAAGGGCCATTCGCTTATCCCTGTTGCATGGAATTAACCAGCTTCAGGGGTGACCAACGAGGGTTCAGTTGGACAAAGACGGAGCAGAAGCCGCACCAGAAGTTAATAATTAGGTCTGAGTTGTCACCTCTGAGGGACAGCAGATGTAGATCTGTTGACATCTTGATTCATCAATAAGGTGGACAGATTTGTTTGCAGGGTCAGGGATCCAAAGTCTTTTGCATTGGATGCACTGGTGATCTCAAGGGATCAGCTGCAGCTGATACTGTATATGCCTTCCCTCTACTTTGGATTCTTCTTCAGTCGCTTCACAGGAGCGAGATGGAGGGCATTCCAGTGATCCTGGTGGCACTAAATTGACCTAAAATAACTTGGTACACAGATAGCTTGGCTGCTGAAACCAATGTCTTGAGAGATCATGGTCTTAAAGCTCAACTCCAGGTGTCCTTCCTTCTATCCTGGCATTTTCCTCTGATTGCTTGCTAAAAAAAATGAGGACTGTTGGGAGTGGGCGAATTTTATATCCTTTGTCATAACAGCTTTGTTTGCCAGAGTTCTCAGCCAAAATTTATTTTACAGGTAAGTCAAAAATCCTTATATTGCTACCGTAGAATAGAATTTTTGACTACAAATTGAGCGGTCCTTTAACAGTTTCTCTTTTTTTTTTTGCTTCAGCTTTCCATTTCAGCCCACAGATGGCCTGATAATGTATATGTTATAAAAGTATACAGTATATGTTTTAGATGTAGTGTCTGTTTCTAGGTATTTTTGACACATATTTGATTTGTTTCCCTGTGCAGCTAGTTACCTTTTCGTATTGTCCAACATTATTAACAAGAGAAGGAGATCGAATACGTAGCAATGGAAAGTTTGGAGGCTTGCAGAATAAGGCCCCTCCACTAGACAAACTCAGAGGAACAGTTTTTGGAGCACCATTACCTAAAGAATATAATACACTTTCTGTGGAAATTGGTGTGTATGAACTTTTTAGGTATTTTATTGGCTAATGCATATTTGGTAAACCATTTAAAAACAATTCCCTTTTTAACAAAAAGATGTCAAAAGCAGTAAAGAAATAAACATGTATATGAATATGGGAAGGTAATAATTATTAGTCAGTATAAGCTTTAGACTTAAACCTTTTCCCCTTTTTACTAAAACATCAACATGCATCACTGCATGTTGATGTGAAATCATCTAACACAGTTTTGGGGTTTTTTTTGTTTGTTTTTTCATTATTATTTATTTAACTTTCTTGTGTCCACTTTCTGGTTTCTCTGAAGTCACAGATGACATAGTCCTGGCCACAGTGATGCCCCCTGGGAAGGCAACGTCATCCGTGTCTTCAGGGAGATCTCATACCCAATCTGTGAGATTTTGCAGTATTGTCGTTCTGCTCATGCTCAAGATAGAGCACATGACGTCATCCGGCTAATTTCACGCATGGCCCATACAATGTTACATTCATGTCTTCCCTCAAGATTTCACGGGTTCTTGGTGGAAGTTTGTTTTTGTTTTGTTTTGTTTTTTTTTTAACAAAAAAGCACTGTTGTATGTCACATGCCAAATGAGCTGCATGACATTTCGCACATGTACTCTAGCACTATATTACAAAATGGTGGCACAGGGCGAGTGCACAAGCCGCACAAAGAGACACCATGAAAAGGATGAGAGGAAAAAAGAGGGACAGCATGGAGGTAGGTATGTAGTTATTTAGGTTGTTTTTATGTATTTTTTATATTAAGGAAAGGGCAGGAGGGTTCTCCTTTATATTAACACTACTGCAACAAAAATATTGTATTTTGATAAGTGTATGGTGTTAATACTTGTAATAACATTTAGTATTGTGATTTCTATTTAATTTAGTTATTTTCTATTTAATTGTAATCATAGAGTACAGTACACAGAATCTTAGTCATAACCATGGGTGATGGACACTGACAAAAATAAACTGCAGGGACATCCTCTATATAACACCTCCTACTCCCAATAAGTCTAATTTTTTTTGCCATTATTCTTAGGTGATAGACCCATTCTCTCTAGTGAGAAAAACGTACCTTTTCTATGCAGAGATTTTCCTAAAGATTATTCTGTCAAGCTTCCTGACTACACCATAGTGACTGTGGCTTCCTTTTGCAGTTGCTAGATTAATTCATGCCTCAGCTGATTTAGGACTTTACCTTTAGGACTGTACCTAGATTTCACCTGGAGAAGTGGCGATACCAGCCTGTAATGCCATTTAGGACACTGAATCTGCTTGGGCGCCTACATTACCATGTGCTGTATCATGTTGTGTTAGTCACAGTGTGCTGTTCAGATCTTGGGCCATCATGATCTTACGCTGGTGGAGCCCTGTCCCTGAAGGCCTGTTCGGGGGTATGTGCCTTGTGGAGGGTGAAGCTAGGATGGGGCTGGTCCCTATACATCCTGTCCAGAGTTAGAAGTATCTGCCATGGTAAGTTACAGGGCCTCTTTGACCCAGTTTGCTGTTACTCCAAGGCCTGTTATGTAATGGAGCACAGGCTGCACCACTTTAAATGTTGTGCCATAGCTATGGAGTAGGAATGCCAGCCGTTCCAAATTGCCGTCATCCTTTCCAACCTTCTGTTGCAAGTTTTTGCATGGTCCCTACTGCTTTTCTGTGCACACACAATCTGTTTTGCTTCCCCCAACATGCTCTCTCTGTTGCCACCTAGTATCCTAGCTCCAGCGGTACAGCATAGCAAAATCTGGACACTTCCTGAGTTCAGCAGTCTATAGTGTACAGAAGGCTTCATCCTTCCCTTTTGGTACACTCAAGCTGGCAACATTTGGGTACGTTCAGACCGTTGGTAGTCTGTGCACTACCTTCTTTCCGACAAATGGGTCCACAAGTTGATTTTGTACGGGTAAAAAATGGAATTTTGTTCCTGTCCCCAGAGCGGTTCTTTCTTTCCAATCTTCGACTTTCCCCATCTCACCTTCAGTTTCTTTACGGGGAAGTGCAGGACCTCCACCCTGGGGGATGATTGCTCCAGTTCTGGCTTTGAAAAAGTTTTGGGGTTTTTTACTCAAACCTAGTTGCCTTACGCAAGATGGAAGGAAAGGTTCACCTGTTCCTGGATCTCCAGGACTTGAATTGCTATGTGAGGGTGCAGAAGTTCAAGATAGCATCTACACGGTCTGTGGTGGCATCCCCTCATAAGGGGGATTTCCTTCAAGGATGCATACCTTCATTTTACCTTTTCAATGCTTCCTATGTTTTGTGGTAGGAGAGGCACATCAGTTTGTGAAGCTGCCTTTTGGTCTTGCTTCTGCTCCTTGGGTTTTCACCAAGGTGCTGGCTCCAGTTCTGGCCTTGCTGTGACAGCGGGGGATTGCCGTTATTGACTATCTGAACGACTTGCCCCTGAGAGCAAAAACTAAATTTGTCCTGATGGACACCGTGGTGATCATGCTGCACACCCTGCAAGGCTTCAGGTGGATCCTGAATGTCCATAAGTCTGCTTGGACTCCAACCAGATGTTTGGCATATCTGGGTATAACCAGATGTTTGGCATATCTGGGTATAATTTTTGATTCATTGCAGGCCAGGGTGTTACTTTTGCTGGACAGGCTTTGGAAGCATCAATCAGCAATTGGTGGACCGGTAAAACTCAACATTCTAGCAGCGTGAGACACAGCTAGACCTTCTCATGTGTCTGATCTACAAGACCAGACTTTCCTTGACATGTTGAATTTCCAACCTGGCAATGGAGTCAGGGAGACCCTTACCCCAACAGACATCAAAAGTTCTCACAATGGATGTCAGTCTGTCATGCTGGGGAGTCCTAATTCCTTTTTGGTGCAGGATGACTTGGTCGTCGGTGAAAGCTCAACTTTCTATCAACATCCTGAAGCTTAGGGCAGTCCTCTGGTTCCTTAAAAGCTCAACCCCCCAGCTGCGAGGTCACTCAACCAGAATCCATATGGATAATGCCACAGCAGTGGCATAAACTATCAAGGAGGCACCAAAAGTTATGCCTGGAGGGAGCTAACTCCTCCTTAACCACTTGCCTACCAGGCATTTTTACCCCCTTCATGCCCAGGCCAATTTTCAGCTTTCAGTGCTTTTGCATTTTGAATGACAATTGCGTGCTCATGCAACACTGTACCCTTTGTTTCACACAAATATTTTCTTTTGGTGGTATTTACTCGCCGCTGAGTCTTTTTATTTTTTGTGCTATAAACAAAAAAAAGAGCAAACATTTAGAAGAAAAAAAAAGTTTTTCTTTGTTTCTATTATAAAATTTTGCAAACAGGGAATTTTTCTCCTTCACTGATGTGCGTTGATGAGACTGCACTGATAGGCGGCACTGATGAGGTGGCACAGATAGGCGGCACTGATGAGATGGCACGGATAGGCATCATCAGTGCCAGCTCATCAGTGCCAATAGGCAGCACTGATGATGCTGAACTGATATGCAACAATGATAAGCACTGATAGGTGGCACTGATGGACACAGGTGGGTGGCAGTGCCCTGATGAGCAGTGCCGATCCGTCCTCTGACAATTGTCTGTTATTGGCATTACTTTCCTCAAGACAGCTGACAGCTGTGACAGCTTGAGGAAAGAGCAGTCGATCACGTGGTAAAAAGCTGCTGTGTTTGGCCTTTTACCACATCACGTGATCAGCTGTGTCCGTAGAACATAGCAATCACGGATATCGCCCAATGCGTGCCCCCGGTGGCACGCGGAAGGGTGCGTTCTTGGAGGACGTCATATGACGCCCTCCCAGAACTGGCCGGCCGCAGTGAAGCCATCATTCGGCTATCTGCGGTCGGCAAGTGGTTAAAGGCATGGTGTCCACATTGGATGCCCACCAAGAGCACAATGGCAGCTGAAGGCATCCAATGTGACCCCATGCCAAATCCAGTGGATAAGCTGTACAGATAAGTAGCAACCACCCCAGTCTATAACTAGCCTTTGCAGTAAGGTGTATATGGAAGGGTTTTGCACATCACAAACAAATTTAAGAGCACACTTACCAGCTAGCCTGCAAAAAAAAAATTGCCCGTCTAACAATTTACAGTAAACACAGGGGGTTGGTTGTGTTACGTTTTTAACGTAAATTTTTAGACCGGGTCAATTTGTTTTTGTTTTTTTTTGCAGGCTAGCTCATAGGTACGTTGGGAAAAAGCCCTTCCATTGACACCTGACTGCAAAGAATAGTTATAGAGTTAGTGGTGGCCACATTGGATGTCTTCAGCTGCCATTGTGCTCTTGCTGGACATTCAATGTTGACAGTGTGCCTTTAAGGAAGATTAGGCTCCCTCTAGGCAAATCATACCTTACTTTATCCACTGCTAAATGTGCTCAAAGTCGGAGACTCTCAAAACTATAGAGTTATGGCTGCAGTATACTGAGGATCCTTGGGGATGTACTGCGGCTTTCACATATATTTGCAAATGTCCCTCCATGTTCACCTTACTGCAAAGGCTAATTATAGATTGGGGTGGTTCCCGCTTATCTGTCATCATTCAAGCCTATGGTCTAAAGCAAGGGTAGGCAACCTTTGAAAGGTGGGGATCTACCTGGACAACATGGAAGGAATCAAAGATCACTGCAGTGCGGTGGAATTAACCAGCAAGCCTCAAATAAAAAGTAAGGATATCATTAAGACAAACGTAGAAACTTTAAACATAATAAAAACCTGTCACTGTAAAAATTTAAACTTTTTCAACCTTAAAAGTTAGCTTCAGTAATGAATTCACTTTCATTCCAATTCTTTTCATGTCTGGAGAGTAATTGGTCACAAGCACAAGGCTGATGCAGTCCATCATGAAGGCAGAACAGCTGGTATTGTAGGCTGACTTGCTCAAATAGTTTCAGGCCTAGCTGATCTGCTGCTCTGAATTCTGTAAGTACTATGTAGGGTAGTGTACAGACGTCGGTAGTAAGTAGGGCAGTGCACAGAGGTCAGTTGTATGTAGGGCAGTGTACAGAGGTCAGTTGGATGTATTGCAGTCTACAGAGGACAGTAGGGTGTAGGGTATTGTACATAGGTTAGTAGAATGAAGGGCAGTGTACAGAGATCAGTAGGGCAGAGACAGAGGGTCAGCAGGGCAAAGAACATTGGGGTCAGGAGGTCATGCTACTGCAGAAAGATCTACTTGCATGCTCTGTTCCCTGCTGGCCTTCCTCTTTTGTCTATCCTAGATGATGTCATCCTCAAGCACCTTGGATAGACTGAAGAGGAAGACCAGCAGGGATCAGTGCAGTGCACTCAAGGGATGAGCTGAGGCTTATTCAGAGAAGAGCCTGAACCCACCTGAGCTGTCCCGTCTAAAAAGCTGTCAAAGTCAACAGCGAATCTTGAGCAGCTGAGGCATTCCCCACCCTGCAGCCATACGTATACGAGGGGCGTGTTGCTGGGTGTGGGAATGTGCCCACTGCATAGAATCGGTTGTCAGCTTTGATAGCTTCCTGGCAGGAGAGCTCAGGCGTGTTTGGGCTCATGTCCGAACACACGTGAGCTCATTGCTTCCCAGCACTACGCTGCAGGTGGGGGAGGAGCACTTGGAGTCAGCAAGGCAGAGATGCAAATACAATCTATTGTCAACTGCCCACAATCAATGAATTCCTCCATTTCTTGTTAGGTCACACTTTACCAAATCAGTTGCTTTATGGGCTCCCTAATATGAAGCACCTGTTTCTAAGATTTGTTAGGCTGTAACCAGGTCTTCTGTTCACACATTTGTTAAGTTGCTGGTAGCTGATTTCTAAGTTCTGGTGAGCCTTTCTTTTTTTATCTCCCTATTGCTTTCTACAAAACTGAGTCTTGCTGAAAGCGGGAGGGGTTATATAGTAGATGTCACTGCAGCTTTCTTCTTTGCCAGTGTTCAATCACCTGAAGGTAGCTGCATACAGCCCATGGTTCTGACTTTGTTCCTGTGTCCTGTACTGTACTCCCAAGACACAGATTTTACAAGCAAGTAAAAAAATCCCTTTTATTTCCACATTTATGAGCAGACCATGCTACATTGGGAAAGTACCAGGGGTCTGCCCTAGGGGTAAATAAGTAGTTGCAGTTGTTTGGGCTCTTGTTTTTTGTTTTGTTTTTTTATACCTGGTTTTAGGCTGCTTATGCAGATTACACTTGAAGAGCGGGTATAGTCAGCAAGATTCTGCTTCTAATAAACAGAGCAAAGAAAACAACTGTCACTGATTTGATTATTATACAGGGTAGGACACTTCTGCATCCTCACCTTGGATGCCTGATGGCCTTGTCCCAGCAATAAAGGCTAAGTTCACATTTGCAGAAAAAATAATGAATGCACATATTTTTGCTGGAAAAAAAAATGTATTTAATATTTTTTCATGGGTACAATGTGGACTCCTGCAGACATGTTCTCTGGCTTTCAGCTCCTACCTCCGTACGGCTTTCTGTTTGAAAAATCAAAGACATGTCAGTGGACTACGAGAATGCACCTCACCACCCCCACAACCCATTGAAACTACTAGTCTGTTTTCTGCTGTTGTCAGCAGTACTTGTAGTATATTCATTCACAGAAATATGGGTAGAACATGTAACATGTTCCAAAAATTAACTTATCCTTTAAGTAGATAGATAACAAAATTAGACTTTTCTCCAGTATCCTTTACCATATACATTTTCTGGAGATTATTTAAACCATTAGTTAGGTACACAGTATACAGAGGACCCTTGACGCGAGAATGTGTGCAAACAAAATCCTCTTGCGATGTGCATTGCCCTTCCATGTGCACCTTACTGCTAAGGCTGGTTACAGGTTGGGATGGTTGCCATTTTTTGTGTAATTTAATCATGTAACCATGTGCATAAATAAAGCACCTGAGATAAAATAGGAAGAAATATAAATTCCAAAACTCCAGTCCTGTACTATAATTAGTTCAGTATTGTAACCATGATGTCTGCTGACTTAATAAAATAAATAAAAATGACAGTGAGGTAATGGAATTTGGGATTCTCCCTGAATCCCACACTCTATAATACATTTCTGAGATGAGATTATTCTGGGACTGGACTTCAGTTTTCATATTGCAGGGAAGATTTTTGATTTTGCTGGCTGCAGGAAAATTTGTTTTATTTATACTGGTATTTGAAGGTGAATACTTAAGATTGTATTTATAAAATATTCACATAGCAATTGAAAGGGTGGGGAGAAACAAATGATATTAAATGAATGAAAAACATTTAACCCAGCACAGAAAATAACCTAAAAATATTAATTGTTCCCATATTTGCTTTTAATGGGTGAGTTGCTTTGCTAATTCTTTTATAATTGCACCCCATAGTGTTTATACATTTTCTATTTATTATGTTCAGTAATAAAAATATAAAAAAATTAGAATGCAATAAATGAAAGTGTGTGGTAAACTACTTCTGAATGTGAAAGTATTTACTCTATACTGTTCCCAATCAGTGTCATTGGTCATCCCATCATTAAATGTTATGTAAAACAAAGATTTTAAATGCAAAAAAGTAAAAAAAAAAAAGTCTCAAGCACCCAGACACAGTGAAGCAGTGTGTGTGGGGGGATGTTTTTAGGTCTCGGGCAATCCTGGAATTTTTATGTCAATGATGCACAAGTCATTAGAATTTTATGCCAAGTCTTGACCCATTACATTATCATTAAGACTTTCAGAAAATGTTTTTATTCTGTTAGTTTGCATAGTTAGGATTCTGTGTTCTTATACAGTATTTGTACAACAGCTTGCTGTCGTAGATAATTAAATTCTGTAATATGAAGCATGTTATACAGTAATATCTCATACCTCATACAGTGAGTCTGTCAGGTAGTCTGCATTTTCAAATGATTTTGCTTCTATAAATAAAAAAAAAATACTCCTAAGTAACTTTCATATAAAGTGAAACTTCTAATTAAACGTTTATGGTGGACACATTAAGTTGTCATTAAATGTGTACTGGTTGTCTATATGCCAAAATCACTCCTATTTATATGCCTGCTTTTTAAAGATTTGTTACAGCAGTATTGTCGAGCGGTGAAGAGATCACAGAGTGTAGATAAAGATCTTAAGAAGCAGATCCAACATCTTAACTCCCCAGATATGCAACAGAAGAAAAAAGAGTTGGATGAACATGAGATACGGTTAAGGACAATCGAAAAAAAGCTGGGTGAGTGGCATTTTAATTTGTATTGTTAAGTCCACACAGAAAAAGCTTTGAATTGTATTTTCTTTATTTTCCATATAGGCACACATAACTGTAGAATAGTCTGACATTTAAGTTATACTACCACATTCAGGAGGTTTGGATACTTGCAAAACAGAACATGTTAGGCCAACCCCTCTATAACTCTGCCTCAAACCATCAGGCCTCAGTTTTTACAAGTGTCCTAGGTGACTGGACGCCTTTTTCTCAGCACTGCTGTAGAAAACCCTAATTTTTTTTTGACAATTTTTTTTTCTTTTCAATGAGGATGTGTTTCACTGTGCATGTTTTTTTCCTCGTCAAGTCTCTAAATGTGCTGCTCCAGCTTATTTCTTCATAGCAGCTATCCGAATTTTCATATCCTCAATAATAGCTTCTGAAGACATACCTGGACCCCGCTGGACTGGAGATTGTGGAGCTAGTCTGGAATTAGACCATTAGACTGTGTGCTCTGCCAGTGGCACTTTCCAGACATTACTGTGCTGTGTTAGCAATTGAGCTCTTTGTAGGTTCAAAGCTATGGCACAGCCTTTTTTTGTAAACCAATCTCTGAAGACTCACATTGTGATGAAGATAAACCTGGTATGTTATCTTCAGGCACTAAGCTCTACATTGTGGCACATTCCAGACCTATGTCAGTAAGCAGCAGAGCATCATCTCAAAGTCCAGAACTGTGACACACCCACTGGTGTGACTCAGTCCCTGAAAACTCAATAGGTGAGATAGGCCTTCAGTCTGAAACATATGGGCACTTCCTCAGTGTAACTTTGGAATCCCTACCTGCACCTCACTGAACAGGATTTGGTGGGTTGTCATGGTCTGTGACCTTCCCTCATTCAGCAGTGCCTTATAGCACTATCCACACCTTTGTGTACTGTATTAATGAACTGCAAGGCACTTTCCTAGTCTCAGAGCCATGGTGCAAATCACACCGTGACCCAGTCTTTTCATACTCCTTTACCAAATAAAACCCATGTTAATTTTTTCACAGCTGTATATATACCCCTCTGTACTTTCAGACATTAGGGTTTTGTCTGGAAAGTGTCTTTGGGCCCTTGCTTAGTCTGTGCCATTTTACAAAGTGTTTTTTTTTTTTCTTTGATTTCAGAGGGCTGCACAGCCTTTGACATGCCTGGTCTCTAAGAACTCACATAGTGATTGACCCTGCACAGACTGATATAGCGCGATTACACAATTGAAGCAATGTGCACTATCTATATTTACAGGCGTGATGACTGTACTGAACTGAGCACTGGGATCATCCATTAGGTGGCGTGTGGCACATCCACACTTCCCTTTTCTTCTCCCACCTTTTCAATTTGAAAGGTGAACTATCCTGTTAAGGCTCCAGTTTAGACATTTCCTGTTGGAATCACCAGGGCCCCATTCTGGTTCCACTGCTTGCCAAGGAAATTTCATCCCAGGTAATAATCCATGGGTCTTCATCAGTCTGATCTGGATCTGCATTTGGCCTTGACTACTATCAAGGCTCAAATCTTGTAATTAGCAGTTATTTTGCAAAGATCATTTGATTCTCACTGCTTACTGAAGGCCTTCATACAGTGTATCATTCACATTATTCCTCATGTATGTTCACAGTGATGCCTGGTTCAATCAGTTCTTCAGAAACTGCTCTTTGAACCTGACAGGGATATTGCTCTGTCTGTTCTTACTCAGAGTTTCCTACTCTTGGCCCTTGCCTCTGCAAGGTGAGTTTCTGAGTTGGCAGCCTTAACCTGTAAAGAACCCAAGGCCTCTTTTTTTTTTACCAAGATGGTTTCGTCCTTTCATCTTAACCAGGACATTGATCTTCCTTTTATGTATCCTGCTCCACAGCACCTTAAGGAGTGTTATGCTCTGTTCAAGCCTTTCTCTCACCTCTAGCTCCCCTTAGACGATTTGACTCCCTCTTTGTCATTCCTAAAGTTTTTCCATGAGGACAGCCTGCTTCTTTCCACTAATGTCTGGTTGATTCAGCAACTCATCATTCAAGCATATACACTGTGTGCACAATTATTAGGCATGTTGTATTTTTGAGGATTAATTTCATTAATGAACAACCGCAGTGCTCTTGGTCAATCTAAAATGTTATTAAACCTCAAACCTGAATATTTAAGAAAGTAAAAGTGAGGTTTTTTGCTTTATTAAGAGAATATGTGTGCACAATTATTGGGCAGCTATTAGTGTGCATTTTTTATGTAACTGAATGAAAAACTTTCCCACCTCACTTGTTTATTATTCTCACTTTAACAAATGAAAATAAACAACTCAAATTTTACAAATAAACATTTCTATTTAAAAAAAAAAAAAAATCAGTGTCCAATATGGCCACCCTTCTTTTCAATAACAGTCATAAGCTTTCCATTCATGAAGTCTGTCAGTTTCTTGGTTTGTTGATGATCAACTTTTTGTACAGCAGCAACCACAGCCTCCCAGACACTGTTCAGAGAGGTGTGCTGTTTTCCTTCACCGTAAATCTCCTGTTTAAGAGGGGCCCACAAGTTCTCGATAGGGTTTAGGTCAGGTAAGGAAGGAAGCCATGTCCTTATTCTTTCATCTTTAAGGCCTTTACTGGCTAGCCACGCAGTGGGGTACATCAGTGCATGCGGTGGAGCATTGTCCTGCATAAATATCATGGTCTTCTTGAAAGATGCAGACATTTTGCTGTGTCACTGCTTGAAGAAAGTGTCTTCTAAAAACTGGCAGTAGGTTTGAGAGTTGATTTTGAGTCCGTCTTCAACCAAAATAGGTCCAACTAGCTCATCTTTAGTAATACCAGCCCATACCAGTAACCCACCTCCACTTTGCTGGAGTCAAAGTGGAGCTGTGTGCCCCGTAACTGATCCAGCTACTAGCCCATTCATCTGGTCCGTCAAGCATTGCTCTCATCTCATCAGTCCTTAAAGCCTTTGAAAAATCTGTCTCCAGATATTTTTTGGCTCAGTCTTGATGTTTCAGCGTCTCCAAGCACTGAACTTCTTTTACTTCTGGGCACTCCAGTAGGTTGCAGTTCTGGAATATGACAGTACTGGAGGATAATAGGTAACTGGTAGTTTCATGGTTTATTCTTCTCAAATCTTTGGCAGTTAAATTGCATCTTTTTTTTCTCAACATGTTTCTTTTTGCCCTGTTGACTATTTGCAACAAAAGGTTTGATAGTTCTGTGATCACACCCCAATATCTTAGCAATTTCAAGAGTGCTGCATCCTATTGAAAGACTTTTTACAATTTTTTGACATTTCAAAGTCATTTAAATCTCTTGTTTGGCCCATTTTGCCTGAGGAAAAGAAGCTGCCTAATAATTATGCACACCTTAATATAGGGTGTTGATCTCCTTAGGCCATACCCTCCTTTATTACACAAATACACATTACCTGATGTCCTTAATCCAAAAAGCATTCAAGTTTTTCTACAGCTTGGAATTGGACGATGTGCATAAAAATGATGATTTGGTCAAAATACTCACTTGCCTAATAATTGTGCACACGGTGTAGACTTAAGGACAAGGTTCCAATTTTCCCTGTTAAAATGCACTCCGCAAGATTAGTGGGTCTTTTTTTTTTTTTTTGGCTTTTGATCATCAGGCATACATTTCTCAGATTCATTAACTGCCACCTGGTCTTCTGTTCCCCACATTTGTCAAGATTTAACAGATGGACATGTATTCCTTAGCAGATACCAGTTTTGTTGTTAGATTCTTCAAGTCGCTCTTTAGGCTGTGTTGAGAACCCCTCTGTTGCCTTGTTTGGTTTTCTTAAGCCCCTTTGGATATCCAAATGTATTTGAATACTTAAGCCTTATATTCTTGATGGCAAAAGGATTAAAGGATACAGGATTATATTTGGAACAGGACTGCTTCCAGATGACAGGCCCAAATACGGTTTGTATTCCCTTCCGCTATATGCTCACTGTTGCTTCAGCTACCATGAACTAATAACAGAAGGCTTCCCTAGACTGATCAACCACAGAGTGCAATCATTCAATAAGAATTTTGTGCCCCCTTCTTACACTGCCTACAGTTAGCCCTGCCTGTCAAAGTTCCTTTTTGCTCTCAGCTGCCCACTGCTCTCCCCTGCCTCATTGAACCTTCTGATCCCCATCTTTCTGTTTCTGTACTGTATATAATCCTCTAGTTGTGCATAGTCAGAATAAACTTGCATCATCTTATGATTCTTTGCAAAATTAAAACTGTGAACCTTACGTTTACAAAGTGAATATTTACCTTAAAACCAGACAATATATAAAGTTGTAATACAGATTTGAAAGTGCTTGTGCAAAAAGTGCTATTAAATATAAAAATCGTTATGACTCTAATGCTAATTTCATATACAACATAGCTGCAACCGTGAAACTATAAACTCAGTATGACACAAGCCATGTCCTTGTGAATCACAGTTCATATAGTAAAAATCCAATGATGAACTCCAATGTGTCAGTGTGTAGTACAAAACACACTCCACACAAGTGCCAGAAACCCCTGTGTTGCTTGTTAGCAGTGACTCCCGTTGTTAGATCCTTATTCAAGTGCACGCTCACTGGATTTAAATGATAAAACATAGATGTACAGCTGAACCACTATTAAATAAGGCAGTAATTGAAATAAATAAGAAGCTTTTATCTATTATTAATATACATAGTGCAATCTACTAGTATTTTTCCAGAATGCACCATTTGTTTTATATTATGAACTGCAATTGATATGCTTTGTTCCCAGTGTGTAATATAGTACAGATAATTTAGATAGGTATGCAAGAAGCCAGCACTCAAGAGGTTAAAACTACATTCCCATTTAGAGAGCAAAGAATGCTTAGCTGCACTACTGCTGATGACATCCTGATTTGACGAAATGCGTTCAGATGGCATCTGCTGCACATCACTTCTGCTCAGTGGAAAGTACACTTGCACTCACTGGCAGTGGGTTGAGCAGCGCTTTACTGCATTGAAGCTCGTAATCCCCACTGAGT